CTAGTATGTGTTTAGGACTTTTGGATTAAAAATTACATCCTTCTTTGTGTGTTTAGGCATTGGAATAAAAAGAAATTCCTAAGTTTGAATCAAGGTCCACGACAAAAGGCTACCTCATTTTTGTGTTTATTAATCATTGTATTTTGGTTGCTTTCTGTTCTCGACAAGTAGAAGTCTTCTGCCTGTCTCATTCAAATTCCTAAATTACCAATAACTTGAGGGAAAAACTATATAATATAAAAGTGTCTCAAACCTTTAACCGCGGAGTTCTTACTAATATCAGTGTCTCTTTGTGCAAGGAACTATAGTTGCACTAGGTAAGAAACTAAAACACTGTTGCACACCTTGGCCTTGCAATATTTGAAAATATTTTTGGTCCACTATTAACAAGGCATGTTTTTTTCTAGTTCGATGCATACAAATCACGTGCGAGCAGCAAGCTAACAACCAACGAAACTTCACCACGGAAACATACTTCATAGAAGGCCACAAAGTGATGCTGTCAAGAAGAAAAGCTTTAAAGCTGGACTTTTCAACAGCATTTTTTATTTCACTAAAAACAAAACAATATAGGATTATCATTACTTTTTGAAAGCGCTCTTGCCAACGACTGTACCCCACTTGCTGTATCTCGCCTTGCATCATCCATAACCCTAGGTAGGGTACTGTGCTTATGATTGCACCAGTGCAATTTCGTTTCCTTTTTTTTTTGTCTCGAAAAAAATCGTTTTCCTTTTATTTGTTGAACTAATATTGGGAAAGTGAGAATTTTTCTTTGTTCCTATGTTTTTGTTTTTCAAATCTTTGTACGATTCCTGTGAAATATAATAAAAAACCCTAGTGTTTTATTTATGTTGCCCGGTCCCAAACAATGTATAAAACCAGTTAAGTTAGTACTGCATATATAAGCATACTGTTAAAGCAGGTATATGTTGCTCTCATCACTAGAACTGAACACACGCATGCTCTTATTATTTTTCTTATCGTCATTATACATTTGTAAAATTATCAAGGCAAATTAATGGGACCTCTCTACGTCCCCATCATCAACAGTAATACTCCATAATCAAGTCTGGTAGGCTAATAAATATATTCGTCAGCAAAACATACTAGAGCACATATTCCATACTGCAGTAGTACTGTATCGTTATCAAATCCACGTGATGGTAGCGCTAGGGAGGAGTGTGATTGGTGTGAAAATTCTAAGCTTGCATCTAGCCATATGTCCAAATGCAAAAGGTAACGACAGGTGGGAATTTCTTTGGTAAGACCAAAAATTTCTTACTGCCCACTAGCACTACTGGAAAACGATGCCTTCGCCCAGGGAAGGAAAGGGATGCTTTAGCTTTTCGTTCCTCTTTTACTGGCCAACCATTTCCACCCAACGCCACAGTAACTTTATTTGATACTACTAGTAGTAGAACGATTCAGAGATACTATAACCGGCCAGGTGCTCATATCCAGCAAACATCTCTCGGTCGCTGCTGCTGGTGGAGTATTATATATATTCTATTATCACCTGCCCCGTGCGTCCCCATGAAGCAATGATGATTTTTTTTTATGCATGCCATGTTTGTTTAATCACTTGCCGTGGGAGTTTCAATCCTTATAAAAAAATGTGAGTTTCGTTCTTACCAGACAAGGTGCTATGCCGAATTTTTTATGACATGGCATGCAAGGGATCAATGAAAAGAGAGATGAAATGAGTTTCATCTAGATAACTATATACAATGTTCAAAATAACGGGCTTAGACATTTAGCGATCACCTTTCTCAAACAGCTAATAACGGACTAAATAAACCTATAATGACTAATAGCGATTAATTTGTACAGGAGAGCAAATAGCTTTACACTTTGCAAGGAACTTGCTTCTTGCATGTACTGATGTAAAAATAGCAAAAATGAAACGGTGCACTGCATGGAGCATTGGATTCATCGTTCAATATCTTCTTGCTCGCATGGCATTTTTGGGAACATCAATATATATAAAACCTTACACCGAAAAAAAATCCGCACAAGCTAGGAGGAGACAGATTATCTGCCCCGTACATTGTGAAAAATTTAAAACCTACACAATGCCAGAGAGAATTAGACGACAGATTAGCAAAGGCCTTGTTTGGATTTTATTATCCGCTAACAGTCAACTGACTAATAGCTCGTATCTAATATTTGTTCACTACCGAAATGCTCAGATTTGCTGTGTGTCCACGGCACACGACAAAGTCCAAAAAATATTCGGCAAAGCTTTTGCCGAGTGTTACACTCGGCAAACGGCACTCGGTGTACACAGAGTCGGTAAATATTTCTTTGCCGAGTGTTTTTTATCGGGCACTCGGCAAAGACTTTACCGAGTGCTAAAACCGACACTCGGCAAAGACTTTTCGAAAAATATAAAAAAACCCCACCGCCACCCGCCCCCCGCCACCACCACACCTGTCGCCTGCGGCCGAGGCGAGGAGCCAGCCGGCAGGGCGCAGTCCTGGCCCGCTCGTAGCTTACCCACTATGGTAGTGGCCAGCTCGCTGCCTGTCCGTGTCCGACGCAGAGGAGGGAGGAAGCGTGACTTGGCAATGGGCTCAGAGGGTCCGGGAGGAGCTGGCATTGTCGGACCGAAGAAGAGAATAGGGAGGAGATGATGACATGGCTCACGGATCTCTAGGCACGACGACGATTCGCGACGCCGAGGCATGTTGGCTTCATGGTGGTGGCGGCGGCTTTGTCCGGAATAATAGACGCGCGCACTTTCGCCATAGGGGTCGGGCAGGCTGCTCTTGGTCGATGTCGACTCCGTCGTGCGTGCTAGCGTCGCGATGTGGGAGGAGGGCGACCGCCGTCGTCAAGAAGATACGCCCGCCGCGCATCTCCTCCGCCACTGCAGAGATCCACCGCCGGCCAAGGCTTAGGCAGCCCCTCGGGCGTGGTCAGGCGACCACGCCTGGGCCGTGGAGAGGAGGGAGGAGAGGAGGGCGCACGGGAGAGAGAGAGAGGCGCAGAGAGAGGGATGGGAGGCGGGCCGACGGGAGAGGAGAGGGGCGGCGGGGAGACGGAGGGAGGGGAGGCGGCGGCAATGGGAGAGGAAGGGAGGGAGGGGTGGCGACGTCGAGAGGAGAGGGATGGGAGGGGGGCGGCCGACGGGAGAGGGAGGGGGCGGCAAGGGGAGGGAGGAGGGAGGGAGAAGGCAGGCGGGAGAGGAGGAGGAGGGAGGGGGTGGCGGCGTCGGGAGAGGGAGGGAGGGAGGGGGGGGCCTGCAGAGAGAGGGATGGGAGGCCGTGGGGGGGGGTGGCGAGTTTATAAGGTTGTGTGTTTGTCGAGTGCCTAGTTTTGCCGAGTGTATTTTTTTTCTAGTTTGTCGAGTGTCGAACTTTGCCGAATGTTTTTTTTTTGCCTTGTTTGCCGAGTGTTTTTTTTGTCAGCACTCGGCAAAGAGCTTGTTTGCCGAGTGCCCGATGAATTGCACTCGACAAACTCTCTTGCACTCGGCTTACCTCTTGTTTCCGGCAGTGGTTAGCTAACTATTAGCTATAGATTATTTAGATACATAGCTAATGAAAAATGCGATTAATATAATTATTAGCCGCTATTATCTAATTTGGTCTAACCAGTGAGATATTTATTATCTAGAGGTCCAGTTAATAATTGGCTATTTTATTAGTTGCAATTGTTTGGATCCAAAAGAGGTAATTATTAGCACATGTTTAAGCTTTTGGCATGAAGGGAACATTTACTGTACAGTGTTTGCAAGCTGCCCTTACTGGGCCCTATTTGATTTCTACAGAGCCTCACAAAATTTACATCACATGAATGTTTGAAGACACATGCACGGAGTATTAAATATAGACTAACTACTAAACTAATTACACAACTTGCGACTAATTTGCGGGATTTAATTTTTAAACCTAATTAGTCCATGATTTGACAAAGTGGTGCTACATTAACATGTGCTAATGACTGATTAATTAGGCATAAAAAATCGTCTCGCAAATTAGCCTCCATCTATGTAATTGATTTTGAATTAATCTATATTTAATGCTCTTTATTAATATCTAAACATTCGGTGTGACATAAATTTTAGAAACGACTAAAGAACCAAACACCCCAGTGTACTACCAATCCATTCCACACCTGTCCCATCACAGGTGCAATGCTCGCCAGTCGGCACACGTTACCGGGCCATAGGTCAAGTCGTCGTCGTCCTCGTCCTCCCGTCGGTTCCGGCGTGCGTTCTTGGGGAAGCCAGGCCGGACGTGCGAATAGCGAGGTCTCGCGGGCGGTTACCCGCAAAAGACCGGATCGCTCAACGATCAAGATCAGCGGGCACAGGCAGGCGGGGCTTTAATGACGTGGCCCCTTCCCGAAAAGAGGCAGACAGTGCGCACCCGGCCAATGGTGGGCGCGATAATTTTCCTCGGATGGGAAATCCCGGGCTTCGCTTTCCTCGTATTCTTTATTAGTATAGGTGGTGGTGATGCCCTTTCGTCTCCGTCCAGCAGCAGCGCCCCCACCGAACCCGCCTCCCTTTCCGTTCCGCCTCGTTGCGGTCGCTCTCGCTGCGCCGCCCGCCCACCCCCTGCACGGCGCTCACGGCAACACCGGCAGGGACGGAAAAGGAAAGCCGAGAGAGAGAGAGGGCGGCCAAGGCAGGCACAGTCGCACAGCACACAGGCAGCGCGCGGCTGGCTACGGCCAAACCCTACGCGGCCCCCCGCGCCCCGCTCCCCCTTCCCTTCTTCTCTCCCCGTTCCCTTGCCATATTTGGTGAGTACGCCCTTCCCCTTCCCCAGATCCCCGCCCTGTTTTCCACTTTTGCCTCCACCGCCGCCCCAATTCGGATAACAAACCCCTCCGCCTCGTCGCGTCTCCTCCCAGCCGCAGGAGCCGCCGCCAGCCGATCCGGGGAGGGGAGGGGAGGGGAGAGGGAGGGGAGGAGGAGGAGGAGGAGGAGCTGGGTTCCGGCCGCCCCGGCTGCGATTCGATTGGAGCTCTCGCCCCGGCGGTCCAGGATGGTGCGGGGCAAGACGCAGATGAAGCGGATAGAGAATCCGACCAGCCGCCAGGTCACCTTCTCCAAGCGCCGCAACGGCCTGCTCAAGAAGGCGTTCGAGCTCTCCGTCCTCTGCGATGCCGAGGTCGCGCTCGTCGTCTTCTCCCCGCGCGGCAAGCTCTTCGAATTCGCCAGCGGCAGGTAACAACCCACCCCCGCCCGCCCATCCGTCTTCCCTCCGACAACAATCCGGTGGTCTTTCTTTAGCTATGTTTTTTCGGTTTGGGGTTGGGGTAATCCATTGTCTTCCGTGGCTGCGGGTGCGGTGATTGGTAAATGGGCGATGTGGGACTCGGATTACTGCGCGTTCCTGCGCAAACTCCTGTAGCAACCGCGTGGCCTCTCCCGTCTTTTTGATGAGTTTTTGGGACCCGTGGGGACGAACATCTGTGACTGTCCAGATACTACCCCCTCCTCTCCCCTCTCCTTGTACTTATCCATTGGCCAGTTTGAAGATTTTGCGCCCTGAAGATCTTGTCTCGCCGTGGCGTGCGTTTGAATTCCTTTCTGCTCCTCGCAATGTTTTTGCATCAACTTTAATACCGTGGTTTCAGGCGGAAAGGACAGTTAGTACATGTAGGCAGTTCATTTCTCCGATAAAACTAGTGTAGGCGTCAGCCAATAGGAAAATTCGGCCTGATAACAGGCAAAAATATGTTCACGTACGGCACAATAGATCAACCATGCTACGATTGACTAGGAGTGGTCGCACTAAAATGCACTGCGGCCTGAGAAAATATTTTTCAGCTATTTTCTACTTGTAGAGCCTCTGATCTCTACAGGGATGATTTCCTCTTTCTTTGGGTCAGTTAAACCCGTTTGAATTAAACCATGGAGCGATGTGGAGGTCCGTTTCCAGTGCCATCGGTCTTCTTTGTAGTACGACTGGCACTCTCTGAGTTCTTTTGCTGTTCAGACACAAAACCAACGCATGCGATATTGTGTACTATGCCTTCCACTGTACATATATTGTTTTGTTTTTGGCCCTTTGGCCATATAGTTAACACAAAAATGGGATTTCTCACTCAAACCACACTGCGGCCTTCATCAAGTTTACTGCTGGCTGTAGTTTCATCCACGCTTCATTATATGTGGGCCTCACCCCCGTTTCTTACCTGCCTTGTGATGGCTTCATAGATTTGGTTTATGTGCTGGATCTGTTATAGTAGTACAGCCTGCTTTTTTTTTTCCACATAGGTAACCCAAAAAGGTAATTTTGTACTCAAACCACATTGTAGCTAGCCTTCGTCAGGTTGATGGCCAGTGGTGCTCTCTTGTTTACTGCTGGCTGTAGTTTCATCCACGTTTCATTAGATTTGGGCCTCTTCCATCTTTGCCTGCTTTGTGAGGCTTCATAGATGTGGTTTATGTGCTGGATCTATAAGTAATATAGCCTGATGTTTTTCCCCCACATAGTTAACCCAAAAAGGAATTTTGTACTCAAACCACATTGTGGCCTTTGTCAGGTTGATGGTAGTGGTGCTATCTTGTTTACTGCTGGCTGTAGTTTCATCCACCCATCTTATCTGCCTTGTGATGGCTGAATAGATGTGGTTTATGTGCTGGATCTACTAGTAATATAAACTGTTTGCATAGACCATGGTGCAGAAAAAAAAATTGAACACCCAATAAGGTTGACGAATATAAGGGGGGGGGATGGGGTGCTAACTAGGCACATGAAAATAGTTATACTTCTATATCGTGGTTATAATTACTAGGCAATATGCCTCATGCGCGTTGCAACGGGAGAAAAATATGTCTCTTGTCATTGAGATGTTATCTTGTACAACACTTACAGGTATTTGATACATAGATGAGATTGATATGGTTATTGTTTTCTATAAAATCTCAATCAACAATTATAAGTCAAAGGAAATAAGAATCTTACCATGTACTAAAAGATCTAGACGTATATATAATAATAATTATAATATAATAATAATGCTTAAGAATACAGTGGTTGTTTCCAGTGAAGAGATAATTCCCAAAAAAGTACTTAAACACTACCCACTATCAAGCCGGAAGCATATCAACGTACCATTTGTTTCGTAATTAGAGAGTTTAATACGTATATAAAGGCATTGGGTTTGGAATCGATATAGAAATATCTATAGAAATATATAGCTCACATGGTTCGTTGAAATCATCCGTCACAAAAAAGAACATTTGGTTAAAGTTTAGGGAGGACTTTTGTGCAAATTCATACAATCCAGAATTTTTCTTAAGCTCCAATCCAGAATTTTCTATCCACTGGTTCATCGTTATCCCTTGCTAGCACCGCAAATGCTCCTTTCCTCGAGTCCAAAAGCTCCTTTCCTCTTCCTCATATAAGCGTGTCTCGCAGCAGCGGTGCATGGCATGAAGAGGGACAGCGGCGCGGCGGCGGGCGAGGGACTGGCTGCAGCAGATGGCTGGGTGAGGATCGGCGGCTGCTGCTCGTGGGCATGCGGTGGCTGCTCGTGGTGGCTGGCTAGTTGAGATCCGTCGGCAGCTGCTCGTGAGCCCTGCGGCTGTGTGGCTTGCTGCTCGCCGAGCATGGACCGGTGGCTGCGGCGACTCACAGGCCGAGGAATGTTAGCGTCAGCTCGCATGCCATGCGGCGGCACAGCAAAGGCGTGGTGTGGATGGCGACGATAGGGGAGCGCAGACATCGAGCACGGCCAAGGACAACGGACAGCTACGACCTGAGGGCATGGCCACCCATGGCGGGCTCGTGGCCATGGTTAGAGCACAGCCATGTCGGCTGATCGGGCGTGGCGCAGCAGGCTTGTGCACGGTTTCATGATTTTTGTGTTTTTTTCTCTATTCGCTTGGATCAGTTGATTGTGTGATAAATATGATTGTTTGGTGGGATGTTTTTTTTTCCCTTTGGTTTGATTTGTACTTGGATTGGATTTTCACGGTGGTAAGAGTCCGATTTGGAGAAACAACGAAAACAATTCCTAAATGTGCTCTACTCTGAACAAAAAACAGATGGTTGCATGATTGCCGAAGCCGAACCACTTTAGGATTATTAGGTTGGACGAAAATTTAGGGTGGCAAGAAATTTTGCCTTTTTAGTATTAGGTATAGATTACTGAGAAAATTGTGCCATGCTACCATAGCCAAATTGATCTAACTTCCTTTCATAGTGCTCAACTTTTTGTTAAGGTGGTACCTAAGGACCAATTCATTTCTTTTAGATGGGATTAATTACTAGATATGATCTAGATAACCATTGCATTGAGTATAATGTCGAATAAAGAAAAATGTAGTGACAATGGGGAAAATTCAGAGACCAACTGTTTTCTTTACCTAGGCACAAGATGACCATCCAAATGGAGAAAATATTTGAACTATAGTTGAATTCTTACATAAGAAAATAAGATACTTCAAAGACCTTGTTTCAAAAGCTTAGTTTCATAATTTACTTTATTTATTTATTCATGTGTAAGAAGAAACAAATTCTTTGAATTTGTGTGTTTTCATAATTACTCTCTTATAGAAAGTTCTCACAACTCATAGCTAGCTTAGCTAAGAATGATCTCTACATAATAAGTGGTGTCAACAATATTACAATTGATCTTTTAAATTGGTCTTGCTTAAATGTAATGGAGCACGACTTACCTATTTTTAGTTAGACATTTGTCCTGCTCTATTTAAAATATGTCAATTACATAATCCTAATTATCAAAGCAATATTTAAAATAGGACAAATATATAATTACTTCTTGCCATGCGATAATATCATTGTATTGTCCACTTCGTCTCCCCATATGACATACAAATACATTGACATGTTAATTATTTTGATAAGTCACTAGTGTGATCACGAGGCCCACTACTACCACATATGTCATAAAAAGTGGGTTGTTCGATGTATTAACTTTGCTTGATCATGATTCCAATTTATGTGATGTTTGATCCTATTCAACCAATCTTAGTCATTACGTTTAAAACTTCCATATCTTATTTCAATCGTAAAATTTTACCTTGGACATTTAAGCAACAAAAATCAGCATGTGTCAATAGGACATAAAATTGATGCGACTAAAAACCGCATGAACACAAAGGTTAGCCACTTAGATATTTGAGGGGACAACTTGCATGTAGTCATTTACTTGGTTGTTGTAGTGTCTTGGTTTGGAATCTATTAACACCAAAATTTAATCCAACAATTATGAAATATTATTTAGGAATACATATATGCTAATGTGTTGCATGGAAGACCGATGTAAATGCCAGTAACCTTGATGCAAATACTAGAGAAACATTGTCATTAAGAATACATAATATCTATATAACCAGTATCTCAATTCTCAGTTAATTATATTGTATTTTCCTAGTAAAGTGTTTAGAAATATGACAATGTCGATGTATTTTTTGGATTTAAGAATGCATGCATTTGCATACATTCAATTATTTGATCCTGCCATACTACTTGGACATAGTTCCTTGCTATGAATATGGTGCCAACTTAGAGTAAAATAATTACTAGCATCTTAACCATTATATTTTTTTATTTGATACTTGATAGCTTTGTTACTTATATATTACTAGATAAATGCCCGTGCGTTGCACTGGGGTCATAATTTTTGAACTAAACCTTAGTAATAAGACGCAGACACGTGAGCTCTAAGGACTTTGTATCGGACGCGGAAACATGGATCCGGTCTTCGTATCGAAGCCGGGTATGACACGGACGCGCTCTGATTAGAGGATGATTTGTATCGGACGTAGATGCGTGAGCAAAGATCAATATTTGGTATCACCGGGTAGATGATGACGTTAGAGTCTTTTTAGGTGTTTAGAGATTTGCTCAAGATTAAAAAGGCGGCACTCAAGGTCGTGAGGCTCCCACATGAGTGGGGTTTGGGAAGGGAAAACTGAGGCAAGCCTTCCCCCACAAATCTGAGAGGTCTGCTTGAACCCACGACTGGTGACTCGGTGAGGCAGCTCTCACCATTGCACTGTGCCCCGCCTTCTAACTTTTAGAAAGTATGTCCAAGTAACAAAGCTTTGGATAAACCACTACATTCATGTTGTAATGTGAAAAAACTAGGAATGCAATTACACAAGAGTAAGTAGATGCTGCCAGCACATTGGAAACTATTACGGTGATCATACTCCTTTCATTGCTTGGCTTGCTAGAAAACCTTGTT